TAAATGTATTACACAGAACAGGATTGCATGAAACAGGATCACGTGAGTGCATTTTGCATTGAAACACTAATAGTTTGCCGCGATGGAGGCTGGCAATTGTGACTGTTAACAATACTTTGGGACTTTCCAGACAATATCTGATAGTTTTATAACTAAATATCTGCTCCTATGGTTACTTCTTAACCTCTCACAGTGCACTGTGATGCTTGTTATGGACTGCGTTTAATAGTTTTAGAGTACTGACACCATGAAATATGGCTTTTGGTTTCAACATGCTATAACTTTCTAAAACTTTTGTGCAAGTACTAATAAATGTCTTAATGCACTAACCATCCTCAAAAAGTAACCATAAAAGCTCATGCTAGTGTGTCTCGCCATCTCCTGTAGTTGCTAGAGTCCCACAAACTTTTTGAAAAGGGACAGCCTGGGTCTCCAGCCTCCACAATAATTCAGCAGCTACCTGGAGCTCCGATTTAACTAGGAGTGTTTTAATGCATAATGCGCTCACGTGATCCTGTTTCTAATCCTGTTCTGTGTATTATATCTATGCACAATTACATGTCTTCTTGCATTAGAAAGTCTCTCTCTAATTCCAATACTTTGCGATCATAAGACTACATAGAAACAGATAGACAATAAAAGAATTGAGATACTCAGAAACACAACTACATGTACAAAAAATTAAATAAAAATTACATGTACATGTAGGTATGATTTTGGAGCCATTATTTTTTCCAAAAAGGGTTACAGTACATGGTAACAATTGCCATAATACAAACAAAATTTTAGTTATAATCAGCTCAAACTTTCTACATAGCATAAGGACATTAATATGTATCATAAAATATAATAAAAATTAAGGATGATTTTGAAGCCATTGTTTGGAAAAAACCATAGGCTATAGCCTTGAGTACATCTTTCAGAGTTTCGGCATTTTCTTAAAATGGCCATAAGTAACTTGAAAATATGAAGTTAGAATCAGCTCAAACTTTCTAAATAACATAGAGTACATTAATGTGTATTAGAAAATATAATAAAAATTTGGGGTCATTTTCGTAACTTTGGCATTTTCTTAAAATGGTCGTAACTTAGAAATTTGATGTCAGAATCAATTCAAACTTTCTACATAACATAAGTACAGCAATGTGCATCAGAAAATGTACTATAAAAAATTTGGGGTAATTTTGGAGCCATTTTTGGAAAAACCATGGGCTATAGCCTTGGGTATTTTTCAGAATTTCAGCA